TGCCTCGTGTATCTTGGCAGAGCTGCTTTGACTGTTGTATCTTCTTTCACAGCCACGGTTTTGGTTTATCCTGCACTCTACCCCTGAGGTCCCTTCCAGCTCTGAAATGCTTCCAGTCCGTTTTCCTTCACCATCCATCCTCCTTGTCTTGGGTCACCAGTACTGTGATCTGGTGAAATCTCAATGACGCTAGCAAGATGGCTGCATTAGAGAATTTTTTAAATGCACGTCTGTTACTTTCAAGTACATCGAATGTCATTGTGGGCGGCAAAGGTAAACCAGAGCTATGACTGTAGGGCTGGTTAGCAAGTTGCTGTTGTTTTGGAAAGAGTTTAGTGAGTGTTCAATTAGAAGTGAAAAATGACTCAAGAGTCTTTGTTGTGGGTGGTGCTGAGGTGGATAGGCAGCCCTTTCTGAAATGACTAAATGAGGAATTGCGGGCTTCAAGTCAACCAGAACTTATATTTAAGAGTGTTTTTGTGTTGTTGTTTTTTTAAATATATTTTATTGATTTCAGAGAAGAAGGGAGAGAGGTAGAAACATCAATGATGAGAAAAAGTCATTGAGTGGCTGCCTCCTGCATGCCTCCCACTGGGGATTGAGCCCACATCCTGGGCATGTGCCCTGACTGGAATTGAGCCGTGACTTCCTGGTTCATAGGTTGACGCTCAACCACTGAGCCACGCCGGCTGGGCTAAGAGTGGTTTTTTAAATGGCATCTGTAACGTGGTCTTCAGTTCCCAGCAAAAGCATCTCAGACCTACTAGAAATGGGATGAAACTAATTATCCCTGGAAATGTGCTCAGAAGTTGCCATACCTGTTCAAAGCATCATGTGAAGTGCCTGGTCCATTTTTTTTTTAAGTATACAGGTTAATGCCTTCACTATATTCACAACCTTATGCAATAATCACCACTATATAATTCCAGAACATTTGATCACTTGAAAAAGGAACCCGTGGGCAGTCATGCTCCATTTCTCCCAGTCTTTGGCGACCACTATTCTACCTCCCGTGTTTGTAAGTCTTGTCTGTCCTCACCTTGCCCTTTGAGAAGCCTCCCAAACCCCTGCCGTCCTCCCCAGGCCTGGGTGTGTAGCCAGTGTTCTGGCTCCAGTGCGGATACTGGCCCTCCCCAGAGTGCACAAGCCAACACCACTGTGCTAAAGGCTCAGACGTAACACAGGGAATTGAACAGACTCATGTGAAACTAAAATATCTGCTATAAGAGCAGGCAGCTTGCTCTGTGGGGCTCTCAAGCTCACCATCCTAACTTGAACCTGCTCCCAGGTCCTTTATTTAGTCCACATTTCAGGTTTGCTGTGATGAGGAATGGACAAAGTCAAATTGTGTATCCAGTGCTTCCTTAGCCTTCTCTGTAGCACAGAGATTATGTGGGTTACCTTTTTGTTCCAGGTGCATGTGGGATGGGAAGGGGCAGCTGGAAAGCAGGCTGGGGTATAGCATGCTTAACTTGATTATCTTTTGTTTTACAACAGTGTATTCAGGACTGAATGTCAAGCATTCAAATCTAGCACTGACTGGCACTTTCTGGGATGGTAGAAATGTTCTGTGCTGTCCAGTGCAGTAGCCACTAGCAACATGTGGACATTGATGACTAGAGACATGTGGCTAGTGTGACTGAGGGACTAAGTTTTTGTTTTATTTAATTTTAATTAATCTTTAAATCTAAATATACTCGTGTGGTTACTGGCTTGTCAAATTGGACACGATAGCTGTGATAAACCAGCGATTTCTGGTATATAATCAATGTTACCGTAGGACAGCGATTTTCAACTGGTGTGCCGCAAGAATTCTTTTTTTTTTTAAATATATTTTATTGATTTTTTTGCAGAGAGGAAGGGAGAGGGATAGAGAGTTAGAAACATCGATGAGAGAGAAACATTGATCAGCTGCCTCCTGCACACCCCCCACTGGGGATGTGCCTGCAACCAAGGTACATGCCCTTGACTGGAATCGAACCTGGGACCTTTCAGTCTGCAGGCCGACGTTCTATCCACTGAGCCAAACCAGTCAGGCAAGAATTCTTAAAACATGCAATACCTGCCCTAGCTGGTTGCTCAGTGGTTAGAGCATGAGCATTGGCCCTTGGGTGGAAGGGTCATGGGTTTGACTATGGTCAAGGTCACGTACCTTGATTGCAGGCTCGATCCCCAGGCCTGGTTGGGACTCGTGAGAGGCAACCAATCAATGTGTCTCTCTCATATCCATGTTTCTCTCTCTGTCTCCCCCTCCCTTCCATTCTCCTTAAAAATCAATGGGAAAAATATCCTCCAGTGAGGATTAACAAAAAAGAAAACAAAACATGCAATTCCTATTTAGTTAGTGACAACAGCCAACACAATAGCTGTGCTGTATGAATGAATCAAAATTATACCTATTTTTTTTTTGTCAGATCAGCACAAAGATATATTTTTTGGTGTGCCGCAGAATTTTAGTAATTAGTTTATGTGTGTCATGAGATGGAAAAGGTTGAAAATCCCTGCCTAGCAAGTCAGCCCATCCATCACTAAACTGGCACACCTTTCCATACAAAAGACTCAAACAAGTAATTCTCTCAGCATGTATGAAAATACATTCCTCTTTCTGAAAGCTGTCTGATGGGATTGACTGCTTTTGGGCATTCCCTATTTTGACATCACATTTGTGGTGCACATATTTAAAAGTGTGACAGTGCAGAGTGACTCTGCTACCCACTGTTCCCCAGGCAGCCCCTGCACCAATGTCCTGTGTTTTTTCCAAGGATAGACTTTGAAAGCTTGCATCAACAGGCTTTAAATTTTTCATTATTTTTATTTCTGATGATTTTTTGTATGTCTGTGTGTGAACCTGCTTGCCTTTCATTCATCCTTTGGGGTAGACCCCTGTCTAGGGAGTGAGAGAAACATGGCCCCAGTCTGCATGTAGCTGCCCAGGGACGGCCCACCGATTGACCAAGAAGTGAATCTCAATGGAAAAGCTCTTGATTATCTCATTTAAAAAAACATCTTGACAATAATCTGCATTTGTTTGGCTTCTGCTTTTTAAAACACTTTCATTTTTATGGTTTTACTTTTACTCTCGTTCAGAGTTTGAAGTTTTCTTCCCATTTGGTAGTCCTGCAGTTTTATAGAAAGAAAATGCTGGTTATCACAGGGATACTCTGGGAAGTCCTCCTCCCTCTGAGAGGAAGGAACTAGAAGGGTGGGAACATTTGGTTAGGCCATAAAATTTTTTTATCTGTGACCTTTAACTCTCGTTTATTGCCTCCATTGTCCTAGAGTGCAGAGTTCTGGGTTTACTGCACAGCATGGAAGCCCTGTGTTGTACTTGATGGCACTTTCCCCTTCAGCATGGTTCTTAAGGTCTCATCTTGAGATTAGTAACTGATGCTTTAAAAGCGTTTGTGAAGTGCTTGCTTCGGCAGCACATAAACTAAAATGGGAACGATACAGAGAAGATTAGCATGGCCCCTGCGCAAGGATGACACGCAAATTCGTGAAGCGTTCCATATTTTTGTAGATATATTTTGTTTTTGTCATTAAAAATCCAAAAAAAAAAGCGTTTGTGAATTTGTAGTCACCCTCTCAACACCAGATTTTGCTGGTGGTAATTGAGAAGAAACGAGTTTTAAGACTTCATTTGGTGGTCAAATTATCTTTAATTGAAATATTTTTTTTTTGTAGTTCTTAACTAGCTGGGCATTCCACTGCACCACTGTTGATATCATCTATGATGTCATGAGGGTGGTGGCCATCAACACTGGGCAGTTCCCAAGATCTCTTTAATGGTCCCAGAGAGTTCTCTAGCTAAAGACCAGTGCTGCATCTGTCGGGCAGCGTTGACAACCTCATCAGAAGTGACATTTTCACTGAGCTTAATGTTTGGGGGTTTTTTTTCTTCTTTCTATCTCTTGATGGTTCTTTGAGGGCTTTGATAATCAGGGCAGAGGCAGAAGATACTACCTCAGTTTGGGTCTGTCTGTTCTGAATGATCAATTCCACTGTAATCCTCAGACCCTTCCAATCATCTGTTGCTTTGGTGATGTCATCACAATTGTTTTTAGAGACAGTCCCAGGGGACTGATCTTGGGAGCCAGGGCAGATGTGGCACCGACTTCTCCACTGGTGCCCCTAAGGTATATGACTTTGATTTTGTTGGGGGTTGTACATGGCGGCATGGTGGAGGCGGCTGGTGTCAGATGAACCCAGATTCTGGACCACCAAAGAAATTTGCGCCCTAACCGGTTTGGCTCAGTGGATAGAGCGTCGGCCTGCGGACTCAAGGGTCCCAGGTTCGATTCCGGCCAAGGGCATGTACCTTGGTTGCGGGCACATACCCAGTGGGGAGTGTGCAGGAGGCAGCTGATCGATGTTTCTAACTCTCTATCCCTCTCCCTTCCTCTCTGTAAAAAATCAATAAAATATATTAAAAAAAAAGAAAGAAAGAAAGAAATTTGCACCTAGGCTTCCTCCAAGCCAAAAGCTGTAAAGACTTTATAGATATTTAGGGGTCACATGATCAAATTTTCTTAAAGTACTGATTATATCTAAAAGAAAGCAGTGTTTTTCACATCCATTTAAATATATTCTTCAGTTTGAAACTTCAATTTGTTTTTGTTTGTTTTTTAAAAAAGAATTATTTCAGCCAAACCCTCATTTGAAAAAGACACTATGAAATATGTTTGATTTCAGTTCACAGAGGGGAAAGAACTGTATACCTCCATCGTGGACATATCATTGTGCTCTTTAAATGATTCTACCTAAATGTTCTTTCTTCCTTTTTTTCACTAAAAACATATGAAAGAGTCACAGGTCAGGTCAGGATGATGTCATTACTGAACAGCCCCATTAGGCACACAGTAGGTCCCAGGTGCTGTCCCACTATCGCCTGTGATTGAGGAACGTGGAGTGGGACCTCAAGTGGATCCTCAGGCAGTGGGGCCTTCCCAAGCCTCTCCAGCTTTTTGGAACAGATCACTGTATAGTTCTTTCTCTCAAAGGAGCTGATGGTGGTGGATCATCATCCGGAAATGGGCCTGGGGTTGCCCCTGCTGCCCCTGCAGGGGCCTCTCGCTCCTCCTCCCGGAACTTAGGATCTTCTGGTGGTGAGAAGGAAGAAGGCAAAAAGGTCCGGCGACAGTGGGAGTCGTGGAGTACCGAGGACAAGAACACTTTCTTTGAGGGGCTGTACGAGGTAAGTGAGTTACGGGACCAGAAAAGGCCATTCAAACTCCTAGCTTCTTATCACCTGTATTTCTCTTTCAGTTTTCCTTTGCCTTTTTTACCACATGGCTACTCGATCTACTAGGTCCCCAGTTCCAATGGGGAGCCCCAATGTGACTGACAGGTGTGAGTCGCCAGGGCTGAGGCCTCACCCTCGGACCATGGCCTTTTATCGCTTCATTGTGACTTTAAAAGCTGTTCTAGAGAGGTGGCTGTTTGGAAGTTTCTTTATATGTTTCTCTTCTTTTCTCAGATTCTACCCATTGTCTCTCAGCCATACCCTTGAGTGCAGAGTGGTACCATTCTCTATCGGCCTTCCCCTTGTAGCTGAGTGGGCCAATCAGGAGGGGCGTTCTCTGAGGGGGAAGGGCAAGGGGACACTTGGCCACATCAGTCAAAGCGGCCAGTTCAGTCCTAAAAGCTGACCTGGGACAGACTGTAAAGTCCTAAAGATAGAGAAAAGCTGCTCCCTGGTCCCACAGCTCAGAGAAATGGCCATCTCCCTGCCAGCCGTTTTACTTTCATGTTTTGTTTTGTTTTCAAATCTTTGTAATTATAAGTAAACATGCTTTTTTTTATTGTCAAATGCATTGATACGATGTTTCATAGTTCTTTTTGTTCAGTACTTTTCTCATGCCTATAAATATTCTACTCTCAGGTGTAGGCAAATTTATGGTCTTTGTGTTTTCTGTCTGCTTTTGTAAATAAAGTTTTATTGGAACACAGCATTGCCTATTTATTTGTATATTGTCTCTGGCCAATTTTGACTGCGGTGGCAGAGTTGAGCAGTTATGACAGATACTGTGAGTGGCCTACAACATTTGAGTGTTAACCTTCTGGCCAAACCTTGCTCCAATTAACCATTGTGTTGTTGCTGTTCCAGATTCTGTTATAAATAACAGTACAGTGAGTATCTTTGTGCCCATACCATATTTTAGGATACCTCTTTGGGCTATAGTAAGTTGGTTCAGTCGGTGAGCCTTATTCTTTTTTTTTTTCTTTTATATTTATTAATTTTGAGAGAGAGAATGATTTGTTGTTCCACTTGTTTATGCATTCATTGGTTGATTCTTTTTTTTTTTAAATATATTTTATTGATTTTTTACAGAGAAGAAGGGAGAGGGTAGGGAGCGGGATAGAGAGTTAGAAACATCGATAAGAGAGAAACGTCGATCAGCTGCCTCCTGCACACTCCCCACTGGGGATGTGCCCGCATCCAAGGAACATGCCCTTGACCGGAATCGAACCTGGGACCCTTCAGTCCGCAGGCCGACGCTCTATCCACTGAGCCAAACCGGTTAGGGCCGGTTGATTCTTGTATGTGCCCTGACCGGGTAGTGAATCCACAACCTTGGCATATCAGGACAATGTTCCAACCAACAGAGCTACCCTGCCAGGGTGAGCCTTATTCTTTTAATAGTGAAGGAATTGGAGTGATAGAAAAGTCTGCCCACGCCTGTGAAACAGTTTTATAAAGGAAGGAGGCTTTGAAATTGAAACCATGAAGTGCTCAGAGGGAGACCAGAAAAGGAGACTCCTAAGTGGAGGCAGAGAACTAGAACTTGGTGCCAATTTCTGAACATTCCTGGGGCCGACGGTGCAGTTTGCCGGCCCGGATGGAGGAGGCCCACGTGTTGGTATCATTGACTCGGTTGCCCAGGAAGAGAAGGAAGTATATACACAGACTTGTTCTAGTCGGTGCAGAGTCATTCAAATAAATTCAAATGTCTTTTTTTTTTTCCCCTTTGACAATTTTAGAGTAAAGTAGAGGCTGTTTTTGTATAGATTATGCCCCTAAATTGCCTACTTTAAGCTTTCTGTTAGGCATAGAAGACTTGTGATTCCTGGAATGTTCCTAGAATAGCAACCATTGCTGATGCCAAGTTGAGACAGTTACTGCTTTAATGTGGTCCTTCCCTCTCGGGCCCTACAGGGTGATCAGCTATGGTTGTCAGTTGAAAGTAGGAGGGGAAGAATTCCCAATGACCTGCTCTTACTTTTTTTCAGGTGGATTATTTCATTCTCTTTTCATTGGGCTAGCCTTCTTGTTTTAATTTTTCTACCGGGTAGGTGTTTCTTTTGAGGTTACCTGAATCCCTTGATTAATAATAATAATTGGCTGTTCTGATCACTTAATGCTTTCCACTATCGGTACTATGTATGCCAAATAGTGTGAGAGTGTTTGTGTTAGTGTTTGTATGTGTATTGGTGTATGGGGGTGAGAGAGACAGAAAGAGAGAGAATATGATTGCTGGCTTTATGTGTCTCATTTTGTGTGTTTGACCAAAACTCAGGACTCTGTTGGGTTCTTGATGTATGCTGATTAGCTGGGGCATATAGGACCATGAACATCTTGAACTATGAGGTATGGAGGTAAAGGCCTCTGCTTTGTGAGTGTCACTTCTGCAGTGTTTGTCCAGGTTGTCATTGCCTTTTTTAAATGCACAAGTCTGACTTAGCTATGCTTCAAGTGACAGAGACCTAGCTCAGCGCAGCAGCAGGACACAAGGGGATTGATTGAGTGGCTTTCATGACGGGGAGGGACAAGGAGGGGCTGACTCAAGCTGGCAATGTCATCTGTCCTCTGACATCTTCTTGCATTGGGGGTGACATTTCTGTGCTTATTCTCTCCATTTCAGATACTCCCCAGAGGCAAGACATCCACCCCCACCCCTATTACAGTTAAGACTGTTCTGAGGAGGATCCGGATTGGCTGAGCCCATCCTAGACACCTCTCTGTGGCCAGGGTCATGGTCATGGTCATAGCCCCCATGACAGAGAACAAATCAGGGTGAATGCCTAGACCCACATCATCGTCCTTGACATCCTCTTACTCCATTTCAACGGCAGTTCTTCACAGAGCCTATTGTCGGCTTTCCATTTTCCCTTCTTATGTCTGTCTGACTGTATTTGCTTCTGTGGTACAATTCTTACTTATAAGGCCAGTACCCTGTGCTTCTTTTTTCTTTTTTTAATATATTATTTATTTCAGAGAGGAAGGGAGAGAGAGATAGAAACATCAATGATGAGAGAGAATCATTGATTGGCTGCCTCCTGCACACGCCCTACTGGGGATTGAGCCAGCAACCCGGGCATGTGCCCTTCACCGGAATCGACCCGGGACCCTTCATTCCACAGGCCGACGCTCTATCCACTGAGCCAAACTGGCTAGGGCTACCCTGTTCTTCTTGATCACCAGGTTATAACTGCTGAAAACCTCATCTAAGTGAACACTATGGTCATGCTAGAAATGCTTGGAAGCACCCAGGAGAGGCTGAGCTGTCTTGGGCCTCTTATTGATAGGTATGGGGCATGCTGACGTCAGCTGCTGCTTGATTGAGAGGTTATAGGGAAATCTGAAGACTGAGCCAGGACAGGCCATTCATATGGAAAAGCCGCTGCAAACAGCTTGGATGGGACTGCAAATCGGATGGGACAGGGTCTCAGGGAATCACCAGGGCAGATAAAACAGTGTGAGCCAGGCTGATGGAAACTCAGGTATGACCGTCAGTCAGCTCTGCGATGAGGGAGGTCTCAGCATAGGAGCAATGGCCCCTGCAAGCACCTCTGTCTAGGGGAGAGCCACCCCCAAGTTCTTGCTCTGACGCCAGACAATACAGTTCCTTCCCATATGTCCCTGCATCCCCCGAGCCATTGCCTCAGTGCTGGAGCTCAGAGGGAGCAAGTCCATGTAAGTTCGTGTGCCAGCCCTTTAAGAGGAACTGCCTGGGTCTCCAGCAGCCTCTGCCACACTCAGCCACAATCCCTGCTAGTTTTTACAGCCCGAAGTTATGGGGACTTCTCTTCCCAGCTCTGGAATGCTGGGCTGGGGGTCTGGTGTGGGGCTAGGACCCCTTGCTCCTCACGGGAGGCCTCTGCAGCCAATATGTCCCTCCTGATTGAAAAAAATGCCACACGTGGGTGTCAGACCAGCCCATTTCATGCCTCCCTTCTACCAATCTCTGTGTGCTTTCTTCTTTACTTCTATAGTTGTACGACTTCCATTCAGCCAGCTTTCAGGAGGTTCTGAATGAGCCCCTGCAAGCACCTTTGTCTAGGAGAGAGCCACCCCCAAGTTCTTGTTCTGATGCCAGACAATACAGTTCCTCCCCATATGTCCCTGGATCCCCCGAGCCATTGCCTCAGTGATGGAGCTCAGAGGGAGCAAGTCCATGTAAGTTCGTGTGCCAGCCCTTTAAGAGGAACTGCCTGGGTCTCCAGCAGCCTCTGCCACACTCAGCCACAATCCCTGCTAGTTTTTACAGCCCGAAGTTATGGGGACTTCTCTTCCCAGCTCTGGAATGCTGGGCTGGGGGTCTGGTGTGGGGCTAGGACCCCTTGCTCCTCACGGGAGGCCTCTGCAGCCAACATGTCCCTCCTGATTGAAAAAAATGCCACATGTGGGTGTCAGACCAGCCCGTTTCATGCTTCCCTTCCTTCTACCAATCTCCGTGTGCTTTCTTTACTTCTATATTTGTAGGACTTCCATTCAGCCAGCTTTCAGGAGGTTCTGAATGATGGTTGTTCCGTTTTTTAGTTGTATTTTGATGTGGTTGTGGGAGGTGGTGAGTACCGGCATTTACCTACACTGCCATCTTGGTTCTCCCTTAACTTTTCACTTTGAAACAATTTTAGACTTGGAAAAAGTTGCAAAAAAAGTACAAAGAACTTCACATGCCCTTTACTCTGCTTCCCCAATGTTCACATAACTGCAGCATGGCCCACAGATGAGGAGAATCAATGTGGGTACAATACCTTTACTGTCCTGAGGGCCTTACTCAGGTTGAGCTGGTTTTCCCACAGACACCCTTTTTGGATCAGGATCCCGCATTGCATTTAGTTGTCGTGACTGCTAAGTCCGGGAACAGGTCGTCAGTTTCCTTTTTCCCCACTCTTTCATGACCCTGACACTTTGGAAGGCTCCTAGACTGTTAGTTTGTGGGCTTCCTAAGGCTTGCCTCCTCATGATTCAATTTTCTTTTTAAGGATAAAATAGGTTTTTATTTATAGTCTTCTAGTAAAGGGGACTGATTTGGTTTTCATTTTGCATTTTTGCTAGGAGCACCACAGGAGTGTGGTGCTGCCCTTGGAGCATCCTATCCGGAGTGCAGGGTACAGTCTGCCTCAGTCCTGGTGGTGTGAATGTGCATCTCCTAGGTCAGCGGTTCTCAACCTGTGGGTCGCGACCCCTTTGTGGGTCGAACAACCCTTTCACAGGGGTCGCCTAAGACCATCGGAAAACACATATATAATCACATATTGTTTTTGTGATTAATCACTATGCTTTAATTATGTTCAATTTGTAACAATGAAATTGGGGGTCACCACAACATGAGGAACTGTATTAAAGGGTCGCGGCATTAAGAAGGTTGAGAACCACTGTCCTAGGTTCTCCATCACCAAGTTATTTTTAACTTTGATGCTGAGTCAACACCCTGTTTCTCATTGTTCTTCCACTAATTTTAGCCACCATTGCAGCAGCTTCCCTGAAATAACTGTTACAATGATGTTTGCCCCTTGATGATCTTCTGACTCCATTATTTCTACATTTATTAATTGGAAACCCAGTGCAAGAAAAAGTGCTCCCTTCTCCAATTATGTATTTATTTGGCTTTTTATATTTGTATGGACTCAGGGATATTTAGACTATTCTATAGGTCATAACCCATTCTTATCATTGTTATGTTTTCCCTTTTATTTTTCATTTACAGTTGACATTACCATTGTTGATTTTGTTGCTCAAATTGTTCTAGATTTGGCCATTTATAACATCTTCAGGTTGGCTTCTGTGTGCTTTCAACACATTCCTATTATACTTTGAGCATGTCCTCACTTCTGGCACCACAAGATATTCCAGATTCACCTGGTACTTTCCTTGCCCCAGATCTGGGAGCATCCATTCCTCCAAAGAGCCCTGGTTCCCTTTGGAAAGTGGGATTTAGAAGCTAAGGATGTTTGCTGATGCTGGGGTGCCATTACCTCTAGGCCCTTCACAGTACTTTTTACTGGCTTGGTTCTGATGAGAGTATCAACAATAGGTTCCCATGACAATACGTGAAACAACACAGATGGTGACTATGTTCCCTAGAACATAAATTCTTTTCTGAAAATCTAAGATGTGTTCTGCTTTTGCGTTGAATGATGGTTGTTCCGTTTTTTAGTTGTATTTTGATGTGGTTGTGGGAGGTGGTGAGTACTGGCATTTACCTACACTGCCATCTTGGTTCTCCCTTAACTTTTCACTTTGAAACAATTTTAGACTTGGAAAAAGTTGCAAAAAAAGTACAAAGAACTTCACATGCCCTTTACTCTGCTTCCCCAATGTTCACATAACTGCAGCATGGCCCACAGATGAGGAGAATCAATGTGGGTACAATACCTTTACTGTCCTGAGGGCCTTACTCAGGTTGAGCTGGTTTTCCCACAGACACCCTTTTTGGATCAGGATCCCGCATTGCATTTAGTTGTCGTGACTGCTAAGTCCTGGAACAGGTCGTCAGTTTCCTTTTTCCCCACTCTTTCATGACCCTGACACTTTGGAAGGCTCCTAGACTGTTAGTTTGTGGGCTTCCTAAGGCTTGCCTCCTCATGATTCAATTTTCTTTTTAAGGATAAAATAGGTTTTTATTTATAGTCTTCTAGTAAAGGGGACTGATTTGGTTTTCATTTTGCATTTTTGCTAGGAGCACCACAGGAGTGTGGTGCTGCCCTTGGAGCATCCTATCCGGAGTGCAGGGTACAGTCTGCCTCAGTCCTGGTGGTGTGAATGTGCATCTCCTAGGTCAGCGGTTCTCAATCTGTGGGTCGCGACCCCTTTGGGGGTCGAACAACCCTTTCACAGGGGTCACCTAAGACCATCGGAAAACATATATAATCACATATTGTTTTTGTGATTAATCACTATGCTTTAATTATGTTCAATTTGTAACAATGAAATTGGGGGTCACCACAACATGAGGAACTGTATTAAAGGGTCACAGCATTAGGAAGGTTGAGAATGATGAGTGTTTCACAGAGCTGTCTCATTCAGGGTCTCCAAAGAACTATAGAAATGGAGCCATTTGAGTAATAAGCTTTATGTTTTTCGTGCTCTATGGACCTTGCCTCTTTGATATTCACTGCTTTGAGAGTTCTATCCCTCTGTTTCCATTGCTGCTCTAGCCGTTATTCTGATGAAAATCCGAATTCTAGGGAAGCAAGGTTGAAGTTGATGCACAAATAAGAGCTGTGAAGAACACTTGATTGGTCACAGTGGTCCCCTTTCTCTGGAAATGTTTGCGTCGTACAGAAGGCTGCCTTGTTTTAACCTCTGTGCTTTTACCATGGGCTTATTTTCCAGCATGGAAAAGACTTTGAAGCAATCCAGAACAACATAGCTCTCAAGTATAAGAAGAAGGGCAAGCCTGCCAGCATGGTGAAGAACAAAGAGCAAGTGAGGCACTTCTATTACCGCACGTGGCACAAGATCACCAAGTACATCGACTTTGACAATGGTGAGCGTTCCAGGCTCAGTCTCTGGGGAAGCTGGGGGCAGGCTTGGGATCTGGTCAGGAGCAGTTTTTGAAACATCATAGGACACTCTCTGGTGTCATTCTTGCCCCGCCGCTTTAAAAAAATATTTATATTAATATAATGTTAATGTATTAATCTTTACCTTTAAATATACTTTCATATATATTTAACATTAAGAAAAAAAAACTAATTCAAGTGATGCCGGGCAAAAAAGGGAAAATTTAAAGTGAGACGTCTGTCTGCTGTTCTAGTCTTAAGTATCACAGTCAACTTACTTTATTTTGGAAGAGAAGATGTAAAAGTTTTTTTCAATCATTCAGCAGGCAAGTATAGCCACTTATAAAAATAGAAGGGTGGGGACAGAGTAGGATATGAAAGTCAGAGGTGAAAGGGTAGAGCCAGAAAGAAATTTTCAAGATAAAATTAACAAGGTGACTGTTCCAGAAGAGGGCTATGAAGAGGACATGGTGGATCAGTCTGTTGGTCAAGTAATGATTCAACTTTTAAATTATCCTCTTGTTTTTTGTTGGGTTTCTTCTTTGTTCAAATCAGTGGTCCCCCTTTCTCTGGAAATGTCTGCGCGTACAGAAGGCTGCCTTGTTTTAACCTCTGTGCTTTTACCATGGGCTTATTTTCCAGCATGGAAAAGACTTTGAAGCAATCCAGAACAACATAGCTCTCAAGTATAAGAAGAAGGGCAAGCCTGCCAGCATGGTGAAGAACAAAGAGCAAGTGAGGCACTTCTATTACCGCACGTGGCACAAGATCACCAAGTACATCGACTTTGACAATGGTGAGCGTTCCAGGCTCAGTCTCTGGGGAAGCTGGGGGCAGGCTTGGGATCTGGTCAGGAGCAGTTTTTGAAACATCATAGGACACTCTCTGGTGTCATTCTTGCCCCGCCGCTTTAAAAAAATATTTATATTAATATAATGTTAATGTATTAATCTTTACCTTTAAATATACTTTCATATATATTTAACATTAAGAAAAAAAAACTAATTCAAGTGATGCCGGGCAAAAAAGGGAAAATTTAAAGTGAGACGTCTGTCTGCTGTTCTAGTCTTAAGTATCACAGTCAACTTACTTTATTTTGGAAGAGAAGATGTAAAAGTTTTTTTCAATCATTCAGCAGGCAAGTATAGCCACTTATAAAAATAGAAGGGTGGGGACAGAGTAGAGTAGGATAGTCAGAGGTGAAAGGGTAGAGCCAGAAAGAAATTTTCAAGATAAAATTAACAAGGTGACTGTTCCAGAAGAGGGCTATGAAGAGGACATGGTGGATCAGTCTGTTGGTCAAGTAATGATTCAACTTTTAAATTATCCTCTTGTTTTTTGTTGGGTTTCTTCTTTGTTCAAATCTGAGACTTAGAGATGTTGACCCTTTGTTAAAAGAGCCAACAGGAAATACAGGATCCCTTCCCTCCCTCGGCCTGCCTCCGCTGAAGCCACCAACCATCGCCTCCTTGGCTGGATGCTGGAAGAGTCCTCCGTGTATGTGGGCTCAGGACGACAGGGCAGCCTCCTCCTGTGGTTGCTGGGCTTGTGAACGCTGCAGTACCTTTTGGCTTTCCACATCTCTAACATGTTTTCCAACTATTTTGTGTACATGGCTCAATGCACTCTTCTCTTTGCTTTACGGGTTTCCACTTGATATGAGGGTGTAATAACAGCTTCTTCCATGACTGTGATGTTTTTTCTTGCCATTTAAAGTCGTTAATGGTCTTGTGAATGGTCTGGAAGAGCTGCTGGCCCTCCAGAGAGACACCAGCGCTGACTGCATAGGCCTGGCTCAGTTTTCCTCCTCTGTCCATGCTTTGCTGGCAAGTTTACTAACATTGAGTGATGCTAGGGGAGGAGGAGTTTCTGTTGGGTCATTAATTATTTCCACTTTTGAAACATATTATAACTTTATGACCAAGATGTCTACATGCTTGGGCTTTCCACTAGAAGAGGGACATTTTAAAGCCAGCATTTTGGATTGGCAGTCGAAGGGTATTGCCCTGCCCTGAAGCCGCTGCTCCTGGCATGTCTGGCAGGACACCTGGCCCCTAATGCCGAAGTATTTGCCCGGAGGAGCCACCATCTTGGGAGAGCAGCTGTGGCTGGTGGCAGCTGCAGCGGGCAAAAGCCGGGCGCCCAGTGAGCACTGCCATGCCGGCCAGGCCAGTTTCACTTTCTTTAATCTTACTCTTCATTTCTACAGTTGTGGTCAAGGGCCATTCATTCCAGACATTTGCTTTCACTGACTTCACTTCTTTCTGATGCTTCTCTTCAAGTAATACTTTTGATCCAGAATATGAGCCCTGGCTGGTGTGTTCAGTGGTTAGAGTGTAGCCCTGCGAAACGAAGGGTCTCGGGTTCAATTCCTGGTCAAGGGCATGTACCTGGGTTGCAAGTTGATCCCTGGCCCCTGTTGGGACGCATGCAGAAGGCAACCAGTTGATGTGTTTCTCTCACATTGATGTTTTTCTCTCTCCCCCCCTCCCACCTTTCTTCCCTTCCACTCTCTCTAAAAATCGGTGGAAAAAATATCCTTGGGTAAGGATTAACAGAAACAAAACACTGTGATAGCTGCAGTCAGATCACTCCCCCTTTGCACCTGTGCTGTGAGTCCTTCGTGGCAGCCTTCTCTCCCTCTCGTTCCCCTCTCTGCCCTGCCCTCTGGTGTGCTCCTGGCCTGGTCAGTGTGTGTTGGCCAACTGGAATAATCAGGACGGACCCATCAGGATGCCAGGACCAGGACTTCCTCCTCCAGCTTTAGAAAGACCCGGAGAGCTTGGATCAAGCTGTCTCTTTTTTTTGTAAAGGGTCAGATGATAAATATTTTTGGCTTTTGGGGATTTACAGTCTTTATCAAAATGACTTCACTCTCCTGTCTTAGCTCATTGTAGATCCCATGTAAAGGAATGCATGTTACTGTGTTCCAGCAAAACGTTTATTTACAGAAAGAGGCCCCGGGCAGGATTTGGCCTGTGACCCTGCCCTGGAGAAATTTGTTTGGCGGACGCAAGCTCCAGGCAGTCATAGTAGTTAGCTGACACTTTCTCTGAGTAGATTTCCCTTTGAATCTTCGTGGACATCTCACCCACCTGTCATGGTTTCGCTGGGTCTACCTCAGAGCTTTTCAGACCTGTCCTCCCCACCTAGTCCCCCTATGTCCTTTTCTAGGTCATTGCTGTTCTCCCTCTTTCTGGTCTTGTTCTTCCCCAACCCACCCTCCACATAGCTTTATCCACACAAAAGACCCATGTCTACCTGTCCCCCTGCCAGAGCCCCCCTCCCCATGCCCTGTCTCATACCCTCATCCTACCCGCCTTGGCTCCCAGGATGGGGTTGCCACCCTCCTGCTAACCTGCACTTCCTTTTGTGTCTTGATTCCTGCCACCCCTATTCTGTTGTCCTCCCTAACCCCATTCACCTTCCAAGACTCAGCTCCTATGTCAGTGCTCTCAAAAATCCTTCCGTGAATTCTCGTGCCCTCACTGCCACCTCATCATCTCATCATGGGCCTACTTTGTGCCCATCATTGAGCACATTTCATACTTTTCCCTGGGAGTGCTATCACCCTCACTGCAGATGAGAAAACCCTGGCTTAGCATTGGAGGCCCTGGCCCAAGCCACCCAGACAATAAGCTGAGGAGCTGTGCTCCATCAGCCATCATCTACTCACCTTTATCTTCTGTAAATGTAATGTTTTCAGACCATCTCTTCATGTTGCCATAGAATTTCCCCATGTTTTTCATGAAATGTTAATTCTTTGAGTTGACGTTTTTAAATGAATAAACTTTACCTTTCCTTTTGGACTTACAATCCACTTCTAGTGTTTTTAATTTATTTTTTAATGAGTTACTCTTTTCTTTTTAAAAAATAATTAATTTTAGAGAAAGAGAGGAAAGGGAAGAGAAAGATAAAAACTTCCATTTGTTGTTCCACTTATTTATGCAGTCATTGGTTGATTCTTGTATGTACCCTGACTGGGGATCAAACCTGTTGGGCAACCTTGGCATAGCAGGACAACGCTCTAACCAGTGAGCTACTCGGCCAGGCCACTTCCAGTGTTTTTAAATAATGCAAATGTGGACATCTCTTTTCATACAGCCCTTTGTTCCTTCAAATGTACTTCCTTTAGGTAACCTCGTACAGTTGGGATAGGTAAGTCCATGTGGCACACGGGAATTAGTTTTAGCTCTTTGGCTCTTTCTATGTTGTCTTTTACATCATTCTTTTTGTTTGTTTGTTACATATATTCTTTAGTTACTTTTTGAAAGTCAGTCTGTCTCATCTTGAGCGTCTTGTCATGAGCGCTGTCTTCTGGAAGGATGAATGTCCAGCCTGCTGGCCTGGTGTCCGTCTGCTGCTTGCCGTGTTTCCCGTCTGGTCTGTCCTTGATAAAGGCGGGAAGGAGCACCTGGCACTCAAGTGCGTTCTTCTCACAGCAAGTTCCATCTTCACAGCAATACCCCATAGAAAGAGCCTTTTTTCTGCTGAGCTAGTTTATGGCTCCAGCAGGTTCTGTCTGGCCAGGAATGCTCTTGTTTATCACTAGTCATTTTAAGGTATTTTTCCGGCTTCACAGCCTTCCACTAGCCGCCTCATGCTGTCCTCATTCCAGTCCTGGAGGACTAGTCTCAGGGTTTGCTGCATGTGACCAGAGACTGCCTTGGAGGAGGGCTCACGGTCCCAACTCCAGTTCCTCTAGTTGCAGGGGCCTCCTAGCCAGCCTGTTATCTTTGTGGGGGAAACACAACACAAACAAGACATTGTATCGAAGACCTTTTAACAGCATATCTGTTTGTGAGATTGCCACTTTCTACAGACCTACGGGAATGGGCCGTCGGTGTCCACTTTTGGGGGGCAGTTCCTAGGTTTGACTCGGCAGGTCCTTCACTAATGTTCTTACTGGTTTGCTTTCAGTGTCCACAAGACCATTAACATACGATTCTCTGCTGGCTTTGGTGTATTGTGGCAGGTTAGCACCGTTTTGTTCTTCCTCAGGTTGGCAGCACAGTGTCTGTATCTGTGCTGCTGTGCTCAGCCATAGTTGTCACTGTTTCTCAGATCACTAGCTTATTTGAAATATCAACGCTGGTCGGGATCCTCCTGAGTCCAGTGCTGTTACTAATATCTGTGGTCTTCACAGACAACCTCCCTACCTTTCTGGGTGTCACTCGGGAATAAGTTTTAGCTGTTTGGCTCTTTCCATGTTGTCTTTTACATCTTTCTTTTTTTGTTACGTATCGCATTCTTGGGTGACTTTCTGAAGGAGTGCAGGCCCTTCATCCACTTGGGCTCCCCTGGGAAAGCTCTCTTCCAATGAGAAAGGCGGTCACCAGTGTGTGAGGATTGGGAAGCTGCTGGTGATAAAGTGTGGAGGCAGGGTGAGAAGACTCCAGGAGCTGTGAACTAGCATGTTCTGTCCTTTAAGCGTGACCATGCTACTGGCAGAGTGGGCGTGTTGCAGGGGACGCTCAGATTCCCAGTGTAGATGTGAGCCCTCTTCAGCCCTTCTTCCGGCTCAGGGATGAAGAGAGGATGCATGTGCTGCCCTCAAGTTCTGTTCCCACGCTGCACCTTGGTTCCACGGCAAGCTCTGCAGGATAGACCCAACATGTCTTCCTTCCCTCCCTCCCTCCCTCCCTCCCTCCCTTCCCTCCATCTCCTACCTTCTTGGCATCTCATAATGTCTGTTTGCTGGTGTTGTCCTGATGTGCCCTCACAAGGAGTGCCTTCTTTCTGTTGAGCTGATGGCTCTGCTGAGGTTCTCCAGCTGGTCCTGATAATGTCTCTAAGGTGGTGACAGCCAGTTGACCATGTTAAGCCCACGGGCCCATCTGCCTCTTTGTGCTGCACTGGCATTTGCATCAGGGCTTGGCCCTGTCTAGCCATTTCTCAGCCCCTCTCCCAGCCCTGGATTTCTGCCTCTGGATTTGCCTATGCTGGACATTTCATGTAAAAGGAATCATGTGGCCTTTGTATCTGGCTTCTCTTACTTAGGATGATGTTTTCCAGGTTCATCCAGGTTGTAGCATGTGTCAGAACTTCATTCTTTCTTATGGCTGAATAATATTCCATTGTCAGGAAAGAATATATTTGTTTATTCATTGAATAGTGGATCTTAAGGTGTCCTGAGTTTTGGTCCCCTGTGAGAGTCCGATGAGATCTGTGAGTCTTTCAGGAGAACATTCCAGAACGGTTAGTGTGTAAAGTTGGCCGAGTCCTCGGCTCCTTAGAGCCTGTCAAAGGTTCAGAATCCTTGTTTATTTATTGCAAGATTATTTATTGCAAGACTTATTCTTCATTTGCTAATATATTTTTCTTTTCCTTTTCTGTGATTATATTCACACACAGCTGAATGTTAGGACTTTGAAAAGGGGTCTCTGAGGAGGAAGATTGTGAGGGTGAAGGACAAATGGCATGGGTTGCTGCTCTGAGATGATCTAAAACAGTGGTTCTCAACCTGTGGGTCACGACCCCTTTGGGGGTCGAAAGACCCTTTCACAGGGGTCGCCTAAGACCATCGGAAAACACATATATAATTACATATTGTTTTTGTGATTAATCACTATGCTTTAATTATGTTCAATTTGTAACAATGAAATTGGGGGTCACCACAACATGAGGAACTGTATTAAAGGGTCGCGGCATTAGGAAGGTTGAGAACCACTGATCTAAAAGGTACACAGACTGCGCTGTAGCTGGGCTTCCAAATCACAATTAGATTTGGCTTCACAGAATACAAAAACTCAAAATAACAGTGTCTTGAGCATGTCAAATTTTATTTTCTCATATCGGAGCGGCCTGCAGTGATGGTCCAGGGCAGGCACCAAGGACCCAGGTCCTCCTTTCTTTCTGCTCTGCCATTCCTAGCACTTTGCTGTGACTAAGATGACTCCAGAAAGCAGTTCTGAAGGAAAAATAAGCATAATTCTGCCCTAATCAGCCTCTTAAGGAACCTTTCAGAAGTCTCCCACTACACTTCTGCTCAATCCAAAGGCTGGGACTTAGTGGTGTGGCCATGCCTTACCCATATGTGTTGCTTCCCAAATACAAGTGGGCCTACTATTAGGGAACAATGGAGAGTGGGTATTAGCAGTCTCGAGCATTGGAGCTATGGTTCTGGCCCCAGACCCAGGTCATACAGATCACTGGTCAGAGGAGACACAACAGGTCAGCTTCCACAGTTCCAGGTCTGCCCACCTCACACAGGGCTCAGGCTAATTCTGCAAATATGGAGAGAAGAGGATGACAAGCTTGGTGATGGTCATGTCCCAGCTCCTCTGCTTCCTTGGGAACCAGCTGTGTTGAGCATCCCATTTTCTCCTCCCGGGGACATTGATCTGCCTGTTAGGACTAATTTTCTACGCGCCCCCCCCCCCATTTTTTTCTGGTTTGAACTTTTTATTTTGAAAATTACCAAAACAGCACTGTGCTCCCGTATACTCTTTGCCCATCTCCCCTGATGCTGATATTCTGTAGTTCCAAGGTGCAGTAGGCAAAACCGAGGAATCAGCAGTGTGGAATGTTCCCCCAGCACTGTTTCTGTGCACAAGAGCTGGCCAACTTCGGAACAGCTGTGTTTTTCCCTCTTCTAAAACGTTATCATTCCTGTCTTTCATTTTAGTGTTCTCTCGGGGCCTGAAGAAGTCATCTCAGGAGCTGTATGGTCTGATCTGCTACGGCGAACTGCGCAAGAAGATTGGGGGCTGTGAGTACGAGCTGCCACAAGGCAGGGCCTGCTGTCCTGCACTATTGGGTCTTGGTCCCAATGGCTCTTCTGTTTTCCCTCCAACTTTTGTCTTAAACATTTTAATACACGGAAACAATGAAGAAGAATGTAATGACTGCCACATACCTGCACTTAAACTTCCCAGTTGGTAACCTTTGTTACATTTATATGTACTGTCCCCCCCTCTCTTCTCCCCCTTCACATGTTTGTTTTCTGCTCAGCCATTTGACTTTAAGTTGCAGACATCCTAGCGCACCCCTAAATCCCTCCCCCTCTGTCACCTGAGAACAGGACATTCTCCTGCATACCTACAGCTGTATTATCACACCCCACACATTTCACATTTATCAGACAGGGACCACAATCTTACCTAATATCCTGCCCATATTCAGATTTCCCAGCACGCCCCAGCATGCCAGCTGGGCACTTGTTGAGGACATTGCCCTGCTCATAGCTGTGGTGTCCCTTAAGTCTTTTGACCTAGAAAAGCCCCCACTTTTTGGTCTTTAGTAACACTGGTACTTTGAAGGGTTAGAGCCCCTCCCTTTGCACTGTTCCGATCCTCTCCTGTGACTAGATTCCCTTCAGATGTAGAGGGTGCTCTTGCCTTCCCTGGACACCTGTGCCCACTGCCTTGCATCCCTACCTTGCTTCCTCATTTGGACACAGACAAGAGGGCGCACCCTTGCCTCTGCACATTCCACTTGTCTGCCTGTCACACATCCACAGAGCCACTCTGAAGGTTAAATGAGATCATATGAGATGACCATAGCCATCATCTTACCAGTCACTTACTTAACATGTCACTGCTGAATGGGCAGGTGGCTGGGGGTGTGGAAGCAGCAGAAGATTGGGGATGATGGGCAGTCACTGATTGCTCTGTACATCTGGCCTGTGTTGGGTGACCTCCCCTCTCCTAAAACAGGCAAGAATATGTAAGAGGCTCTAAATGGAACAAGCATCTGGTTCCCTACCCTGTCCTCTTCACAGTCTGAGGACTTCTTTGTAAATCCCTCCCAGCTTCTGCTTTGAATGGTCTGTTCAGAGGGACTATTGGGCCACATCTCCCTTGAGTCTCTACTTTCTCTTCTGCGTCCTTCTCTCTGCCCTAAACCTAAAGTGTTTCTTTTCATGGCATTGTGTGGGGACCACCTGCTTTGTTAATGATCCATGACCACTCCTCCATCCCTGCCACATCTGAGCCGCTCAGCCAGAGCCTCTCAGCCAGTCTCTGATTGCATACGAATCATCCTCTCGTTGGCTCCATGCCCTTGGGTAGCTTCCTGTCGCCCCTGGGTTATCACCTGGCCCCTGACCCAAGGGGCCTCTGCATTTGGACTTCAGCTCATCTCCATGCTGGGCACCCCTCCAGCTTGGCTGCTCCTTTCCTGAGGGTAATGCCTGGTCATCTGTCTCAGCCCAGTTACATGTCACACGTGCACATGTTTAAACACACACATACACATACACACACACACCCTGGTGTGGCTTTTCCCTCTGATCCCCCACCCACTGATGTAAATGGTGGGACGCTGTTGTGTCATTTCGTGAATTTTTTTGGTGAAGGACATGCTTCCACTTGCAGCCTTCTGCAGAGTGCCCTGTACAGGGCCACCTCTCATACCTGGTTAGCGGTAGTGCTTTCTGGGCTGTTCAGAAAATGAGTGTTCAGGAGGTCAGAGCTCGCTTTTTATTCATTCCTTTTTCTAACTGAGATATCCAGGCATATGCAAATCTTGAAATAGTAGACTTTGAGTCCCTGCTGTATTCCGGGGACTTTGACACATATTACCTTGTGTAAAGCATCGTAACAGCTGTGTGAGATGGCGTTGTTCCTGTCTGAAAAGGGGCCTGAGGACATTCCATTTTGATGAAAAACTAATGACTTCAAGCCTCCTTAGCTATTAAGTGACAAGGTTCCATGCTGCCTCCAGTCCTGATTTTTACACCTATGCTATTCCATCTGCCACAGCACCAATGTCAGGACAGGGTGAGGGGGGGACACTGGTTGCCTGTAGTACTCACCAGTTTGCTCAGAATGCTTTTCTTCAAAGGACAGTTTTTTGGACCGTGCCCCATTTGGTGACTCAGACCTTAAAGTTGGGGTGGTGCCAGCCTTCTGTCTATCTGTCCCACCAGCTGGACCCAGGGTGATGGGCCTTCTGTCTGTCTGTCCCACCAGCCGGACACAGGGTGATGGGCCTTTTCTTCCCCTTTACCTATGAACTCCTTTGATCTTAGCTCAAATGTTCACAAACCTCCACAGCAGGCTGGGCCACCATGTCACACATTCTCAGCACTCCAGACCCTCCCCTCATGCAGCATCACAACTGCCTTTACACTCACGTGTGCTTGTTTGATTTATGCCCATCTGAAGGCAGGTCTGTGTGTGACCTCTTTTTCAATGAGCAAGTCTATAAGTTCGCCCTTTCTGGGGCTGTGCCTTCCTTCCTGAAGATCCATTTCATCTGGTACTGTTTTTCTTCAGCCTACCGAACTCTTTTTAATCTTCTTTGTGTAATTGTGTTGGCCATGAATTCTTGTAGTTATTTATTTATCTGAAAAGTCTTTATTCTTAAGATACTTTTGCTGGGTGTAGAATTCTGATTGAAAGGTGTTTTATTTAAAAATATATTTTTATTGATTTCAGAGAGGAAGGGAGAGGAAGAGAGAGATAGAACATCAATGATGAGAGAGAATTACTGAT